TTTTTCTTCTGCTTCTTTAACTATTAAAGGTGGTAATCTGTGGCATATACTGATGCATATTTTTCATCTATTCAATAAGTAGTTTTTAGTCTACCATGTTGGCAAGGATTTGGGGAAAAGATACACTTTCATGTTTTTGTTGGGACTACAAATTGGTGCAACCACTCTGAAAAGCAGTATGGTGCCTTTTTTACTAAGAATGTAACCACTGTATGACCCAACTATCCCACTCCTCAGTATATATCCAAAAGATCTAAACTCAACATGGCTATAAGGATATAGCCACATCAATGTTTATAGCAGCATAATTTATAATAGCCAAGCTATGGAACCAAACTAAGTACCCTTCAACAGATGAATGGATAAGAAAATGTATTTATGTCCTCAATGGAGTATTACTCAGCAATAGAGAAGAAGAAATCATGTTAAGTGAGATAAGCCAGACCCAGAAAGTCAAAGTTTGAATGTTTTCTCTGATATGAAAAAGCTAGTCTAAAATAAATAAGAAAATAGAGAAAATAAATGACTGGGGGATTCCATCAAAATAGAAGAAAGAGTTAAGTGGTGGCACATGCCTATAATCCCAGTGGCTCCGGAGGCTGAGGCAGGAGAATCATGAGTTCAAAGCCAGCCTCAGCAACGGCAAGGTGCTAAGCAACTCAGTGAGACCTTGTCTCTAAATAAAATACAAAATAGGGATGGAGATGTGACTCAGTGATTGAGTGTCTTTCCTTTAATCCCCAGTACCCCCTCCCGAAAGAAGAAGAAGGAGGAGGAGGAAGAGGAGGAGGAGGAGGAGGAGGAGGAGGAGGAGGAGGAGAATGATGACCACTAGAGTAGCAGAAGTGGATTGAGGGAGAGGGAAGAGGGATGAGATAAAGGAAAAGGAGTGGAATGAATCTGACCTAAGTTTTCTATGTACATATATGAATATACTACAGTGAATCTTGTGTATATTTATGAGACACTAATTTAAAAAAAAAACTGTAAATAAATAGCAGAAAGATAAGTAGAGTGGAATAAAGGAAACAAGGGGAGGGAGAAGGGGAGAGTATGGAGGGAAAAACTGAAGACTTAATTAGAGCAAATTTTATTCTATATATTTATGGATGAAATGATTCCTAATGTAATGTATAGCCTATATGAACAAATAAAAGAATGAAAAAAACAATAACAAAGAGGAAATCAAGCATAATGATAAAAATAATGATATAGAATCATCTTGGTCGTTTTATTTCTCTCATCAGTGGTGGTGGCTGTAGTAGTAGCAGTAGCTCCCTAGTAGTAGGTAAACCCCACAAGGTCAGGGATCTTTGGATTATTCCAAATGCTTAGAGCAGAACACAGCATGGAAGAAGCACTCCATAAGGATTTGGATAAAGCCACAAGGTCAGGGAGAATTGAGAGTGAAGATATAACATGAGATGATTTATGTTTTGACAGAATCTTTGGCTGCTTTGTGAACAGTAGTCTAAGGGGTTGTGAGGGTTGGAGAAGCAGAGCTGCTGAGGAAGTAACTGGGTGCTAACGGTGAGAACAGGCAATGGGAGCCACAGTGGCTGAGGAGGTGAGACAGAAGGATACATTGCACATGGCTACCATGTTCCGTAGTAAACTTAAAATAAAAATTGGGAATAAATAATACTGATGATGTTTGATGATCACACCAGTAAATGGTGAAATGTCACCTAAGTACCTCAGACACAATTTAAGTAATAATAAAACCTTGAAAAGACATCATGTCCACAGATGTAAAATTATTATTTTTATTCTTTAATAGTTTTAAATTGAAACATTTTTGAAGAACTCTTTTCTATAAGTAACCTATAAGACATGAAATCATATCTTCAAAGACTGCATAGCTAATATGTCAATTTTTCAGTGTCTTTAAAATATTTGAAATAGATTTTCTGAAATGCATGATTATGTTATTAAAAATAATTATTCACATGTGTCTCTTTTAAAAGAATACTTGAAAATATTTATGGGGATTACCTGAATTATCCTTTCTGGTTATGTTGTAAAAATGGAGCCAATAACTCAGAAGTCGATAGGAACAACTTTTTCAGCAACAAACACTATGACCCGATGTTGCATAGAAGTCATGTTCTTTCTGACCTAACCCCAGAGCTAATTTCCTCCTGTGTTATACAAAATTGTAACAAGTTTTTAAATGTGGCTTATCAATTTATGACATAATAAAATAACAACAGAGAAGAACAGGTAGTTTATTAGAGGTGGTTTCAGTGGCCGTAGCCAAAGAAGACAGATGTAGTATGTGAAGGAAGAATAAAATTATATATGCACATTCAACAGCTTTAAAACTTTGAAAGCCCTAGCACTCTGGATTTATTTTGCTTCATCCACTTCACAAAAGTATTGCTGCATAACTGCACAGGCCACTAATCAAGATTCTTAACCAGATCCAGACATTTAAAAATGATGTAATTATGTTCAGTGTATTTTATTTTGAAAAGCAAGTGCATAATACATTTCAGAAAGATTGAGAAATGATTAACATTTCAATGATTTTGGAATGGGAGAACTTCCAATTTCAGTTATATGAAAATTAGTTAATTTGGTGGCTGAGGCTGTGGCTCAGTGGTAGCGCACTTGCCTGGCATGTGTAAGGCACTGGATTCAATTCTCAGCACTGTATATAAATAAATAAAATAAACATCTATCAACAACTAAAAAATGTTTTTTTAAAAAAAGAAAATTAGTTAATTTTGATATCTCCTTTCTTAAAGATGACAAACAATTATTTTCTCTAGGTTACAGCCTTCATAGTTAAAATTACATATTCTAACAAAAGATGAAACTCTTTGAATCCCATGGGCAGTTATGTTTACTAACATTGCTAATTTTAAAAAGAGAAAAAAATCTGTCTGTATTTACTACTTCATATATTAAAAAAAAATTAAAATCCCAGTGAGAATGAACAGCGACAGACTGTGAACATTGCAGATCAAACCACAGATAGGCTCACTGTGGGAAGGATTATAGGGTCAGTGGCCTTGCTACTTTAGGCTCTGCAGAGATTCGGCTCAAATCCAGCCTCACACTCTCACTCTGTAATTAGAAAGGACACTGCTACTTTTAGTCTCCAGGGGATATGGTCTCTTTTATAAAGTCCTCGTTTCAGTTTTCACTGTCATCTCCCACATGAGACACTAGGATAGCAGGCAAAAACCCTGTTATTCCTAAAAGTGACAACAGACAAAGAATGGCAATAATCTTCAACTAATTAGTATTATTTCTTCAAGAGTATCTTTTGGCTACTACATTCAAGGCATTTCAGTAAAAATAAAAATGCACTAATAACCAATATTTTAAAACTAGAAAATGATAGACATTGATTCTTTAGTTAAGGTCAGTGGAATCCCAGGGAGACCATCAAGGGTCTCCAGAGGGCTTGAAAGTCTGCTGTAATTTCATGCCAAATTGTATGTACATGTTTCTAGAAAAAGGATCCAATGTTTTCAGTCCATATTCAAAGCATCTGTGATGACCCCTTTGAAATCTTTCCTAGTATTAACAACCAGTATTAATCAACTCTAATACAAGTATAGGAAAATGTTCAGCATATGTCCCATCAATTTTTAAGGACAATAGAGTCCATATACTCCGAATTTTTTCTCCAACCCATATTCCAGTGAAATATGGTTCAGGTGACCTAGGATTTAAAATCAGTTGGATACAATGGATACATTATAATCATTGTAAACAAATTTCCCGAATTCAAATCCTGACTCAGACACTAACTAGTTAGATGAGTGCAACTGAATTAGCCTCTCATGGCCTCAGTTTCCTTATCTAAAAAATGGGACATAGTACCTGCCTCAGGGGTGGAATGAGGTTTGAGACATTCCTTCATGTAAAGTGCTTAGGACAGTTCCAGACCTGGCTCTGACTGTATTTCATCAATGTTATTTTGGAGGAGCTTTAATGAATCTTCAGTAGAATTCTTAATTTTGAATATCTATGTTTTTATAATCTACAATACTAGCTTGTGATCTTTCCATTATAGTAAAACTTATCATGATTTTAACTCATGATTGTCAATCTTTCTTTTATTGGTACATATTAACTCTACAGAATAGTGGATTTCATTCTGGCATATTAGTATTTGCATATAATATAATTGGATCAATTTCAGTCCTCAATACTCCCTTCTATCTGCTTTCCCCTACTGTATTGGTCTCCCTTCTACTTTCATAGTATGTATGTATTGGTACTAGGGATTAAGCCCCAGGGACACTAAACCACTGAGCTACATCCTAAACCCGTTTTTTTTTTTTTTTTTTTGAGACAAGGTCTCACTGAATTGCTTAGGACCTAGCTACATTGCTGAGGTTGACCCTGAACTTTAAATCCTCCTGTCTCAATCTCCCAAACATCTGGGATTACATGCATGTGCCATATGCCTGGAGAGATCTATTTTTATGTATGTATGTATGTATGTATGTATGTATGTATGTATGTATCTAACTATCTATCTTTTTCCTCTAGCTTTCACATAAGAGAGAAACCACATGATACTGCCTTTCTGAGTCTGGCTTATTTCCCTTAACATTGTGCTCTCTTAGTTCCATCCATTTTCCTGCAAATGACATAATTTTGTTCACTCTTTATCGGTATTTAAACTTTGGACACCTCTATTTTGATTCTTTTTATCTGAAATCATTGTATTCCTAAAAATTTTGTATGATGAGCATTGTCACATGGTGATATTTTTGTTTTTAACCCTTTGACTGAAGGTACACATCTAAGCTGTTGATTAATGTATAATAAACACATTTCAACATGATTTCAGTTTTAGGCCTCAATATGAAATTGAAAAAGTATTCAAATAAACATAAATTTATTGGGATTATATTCACTACAGAAATATTAAATGCATATAAAGTTGTATAAACCTTTTCCCTTTCTTTAGAAGATTAAGAACTCTATCAAACGTGCAAATTTGATTGACATGCTGTTCTTTTTTTCCCCCACAGCTCTTGTAGTGAGATTTCTGACCAAACGGTTCATCTGGGAATATGATCCCACCCTCGGTAGGTCAAATTTTGTTTCCTTCTATCATCTTCCATTATGACATTTTAAAGCCCCTTGCAGCTGCTTTGGAAGTAAGATAGTTATCATATCATGCAAAGAATCTCTCTAAGAGGCAAGAGCTGTGTTTCATGTTGTATATGCTTAGAACCCTGCAAGATTTTAACGTGAAAATGAAGAGACTAAGTTAAACCTAAGACATAAGGAAGTGGCAATATGATGCCCGCCCATCAAAAAAGAGCCTCACTCCAATGAGAAAAAAAAAAAAAAAAAAAACAGACAAAGCAAATTTGGTGTGGGGTAGAATGGCAAGCTGAAGGCAGTTTAACAAAATCCCAAAGTTCTGAATACCAATTTGGGGAAAGTGTAAGAATAAACTATGTCCTCCCACCAATTCTTCTCTCCTATGAATCAGACTAAAATGTGTTTAAATAAAGATGCAAAATGTGTGGTCTGCGGATCTTGAAAGTAACAATAATGTTTATGCATAAAGTGTGGGCAGACTATTTCTGAGCTCTTTTGTTTTGGTTTGGTTTTTGTTATCACTCTAAGGTTACATATGTTCAGCTTAAAGGGGAGCCTTCTTTCTCTCTTGTGCCTTATTATTTTCATTCACTCATTTGACAAATATTTATGAACTGCCTTCTGTGTGTCAGTCATATTCAGATACTGCAGATAAATTCAATGGCAAAAAAAAAAAAAAAAGAAAAACCTCTGTTTTTTTTTTTTTCCCTGCTAACAGTCTAGTAAAGAAAAGAATCAGTAAGTAAATAGATATATATCAGATGATGCTGTAAAGGAGGACTGAACAGGAAATAATGAATGCTTCTGCACTTTATTTTTTTTAATATTTAATTTTTAAGTCTATTCAATACTTACTTGAGTGAGAAGTACAAGGTGAAGACCAAACAATTTTTTCCAAATATTTGAGCAATTTTCCCATAGTTAAATAACTCCTATCTTCCCCACATTACTTTCAGTATTGTCTTTGTGTAGTAAATCATTTATGATAGGACACAATTTAGATTCGCTTTTCACATCACATTCAATAGTACACTCTTGATATTTGTATGCAATATTTTACTACTCAGCATTACTAAGAAATTTTATTTCATTACTGTGTTTTACAAAATCATCTTGGCTACTTTCTCCAGTGTATTTTTTTCAGGTCAGTTTTCAAAACTGTCATAATATGATATGATTTTGATTGGAATTGCAGTAAAACTAAAAATTATTTTTAGAAGATTCATATCTTTATGCTATTCAAGTTTTTAACCTAGCATATCTCTCTGCATTTATTCTTCTTCTAGGATTTTTCTTTTAAATATTTTGTTCATCAAAATTTTTCAACATATTTTTTAAATATATACACACTAAATTTAAGATGATCTATTTGGATCTAAAAATGCACCTGTTTTTTAAAAATTATTTTTTATTGTTTTCCTCACTTAAGTAGACACCTGTTGTCTTCTTATATTTTCATTATTTATATAAGTTTACAGAGATTATCTGAGAATCTCAATGATCTATAGGAGTTTAAAAAATACTAATTATTTGTTATACTCACACATCTCAATGAAGATGAAATGCTCTAAAAAGGATCTCATAATCATTTTTTGCTCTTGCTCTGAATATGTTCCAGTAACTAACGCTATTATTTTTAATTAGTCTTAGGTGGACCATTTTCCTTTTGTTTTATTCATTCTGAAAAACAACTGCTATTAATAGAACCAGCCTGCTTCCATTGCTGGCAATGCAGGCTTCATCACTGAGAATGGCAAGATTTCTCTGAGTGCCCTCGCTCAGCTCTGCTAGGAGAGTACTGTGGCTACTAGGCAACAAGAGTGCTCTGTCCTAGGACTTCAGGAGTAACAGGTGCATGACTCACTCCCAGGTGATGGTTTCCTTTAGATTTCACTCTGGAGACTGGGATCTGTGTGGGTGTGCACACCACTAGAAACCACTAATGTTCTGCCATAAAGGAGACTCCAATTCATTTGATTCAAGAGAAATTAGCATTTCCTGGGCTTAACTTCACATTACTATAGAGAAGACCAGATCCTTTGTTGAAGTCATGGCTATTTTAAAAGTCCAAGACAACCACCAACAGCAATGGCTACATTACAGAGCAAACTGACATAGCTAGGGGAAAAAAATAGTCTTGCATTCCGAATTCAGTCTTCCTCAGAAACAAGGGACAGCATTTTAAACTTGTAACAGAATTGTTGCTCCATGTAGTTGGAAGCCATAAATACCATTCTACATATTAACAAAACTTGAATATTTACTGTTACAAAATAATTCTAGAAAGAAATTGCTTGCTACTGTAGTAGTCCCAAACTTCTAGATGGCAAGCCCACTGGTTTTTGTTTGTTCGTTTTTGTTTTATTTTGTTTCGATTTTTTATAAAGAGGGTCTATCATAAGAATTTCAATTAGAGATGTAAGGGGTAGAAAGTGAAGGGAACTAAATCTACACATATTTAAACTTCTGTTTCATAAAAATGGGAGTTTTTAAAAAAAATATCCAGTGTTTTGAAGGATACAAAAAAAAAATAAAATAAAATAAACCATTTAATCCTTTAATCCTTTTCATTGAATGATTTTAGTTCCCCTCTTTTTTTTTTTTTTTTTTTTGCATTTCACAGCAGACCAATAAAATCTTTGTCAAAGGCCAGTAATTGTTTATGAACAAACCACCACTCAAGTGTGTAATATTTGGGATGTGGACCATCTAACCAAGAAAACCCCTAATGGGGATGGCTGCAAAATTCTGGTTGTAGACAAACAGAATCCATATTGTACAATCTCAACCAAGAACTGAATTTCTACCTCCAAGAGCTAAATTGCCCTCTAAGAATGTGAGTCATAGAAGAGGATACACACAGAGACTTAGATTGTCTTCAATTGTGTATGTGCCCGTGAGTGAGTGAGTGTGTGTGTGTGTGTGCGCGCGTGTGTGTTGGAGACATTTGGAGAGGAGAGAGACTGCATTTTGGTACACACATTTCTATGCTGGTGCATAGGAGGCACATTGCATTGTGTTTGAATGGATGGAGGCTCTCTGTATCTGCATAGTAAAAGGGTGGGATTCAGACAGATTAGACCCACTGGTGTTTGGATTCCCTATGTGGTTCTTCTTGCCTGCCTTACAGCTCTTTCTGCTTGGAAAGATTTATACAAAGAGAGATACACACCCAGAACAAATTCTCTCAACTGGATACCAAAGCAGAAGTGCTCAGCCAACTCAGAGCGCTATATAATACAGCACTGCAGGGAACCTGGAGATAGTTCTTTGTCAAATAAGGAAGCAGGTCCAAAAAAGTAAATTTTTATCCAAGATTACTTAGACCAGCAGTAGAACTGAAGTCAATGCAATTTCCACTCCAAAATAAATAACATTATTAACTGCTGTTGTTTCTGTGCTGCTTAGTGTCCATACTAAAGTGCTGAAATTTGAAGAAAAAAAAAAGTACCAACTAAGTTACTGTAAGAGTTAACCACATTCAACATCCCTTTGAGCATGAACTCCTCTCGGAGTATACAAAATATATTTCTACTTATAAAAATATGACTGAATGCAGGTTTTAAATCATATACACAGTGAAACTAAGATTTTTTAATATGCCTAAATCCATTTTGAAGCTAATATTTGTTTTGCAGTAAACAACATTTTGATTCATTTTAGAAGTACCTCCTAAACAATAATCCCCTACCCTTCAAAAATAAAAAATAAAAACAGAGACTCGAATTATCATTTTTGTTAGTAGGAAGAAAATAAAAAGTCTGTTCACCATCCAGACACATACACATTTTTCTCATGTGTTTTAAAATGAACATCAGCATTTATTACAAAAAAAATAACTTAGTGCATTTTTTCAAAACTATCTCAGAGAAGCTAGCACATACATGTACATTGTTTTGACTCTGTGGCTAGTACTTCCAGAGTTTCACATATAGAGAAAATGGGTTCCTAATGAAAGACACTTAAAGAAAATATGTTCAAAATGGTGTGAAACTGGTTTTGGTCTTAGATGAAATCCCCATTGCCACCCACTGCTAAGCCTGTGGCAGACATTCTCTCATTTCCTGCATTTCATCCTTTTTTTTTCAATCACAAACAGCCAAAGAGTCACACGACTTCATACAATTTTCATTCTATCCTATTTGCCCCCCTGCTGCGGCCTTCTGTGGTTGAAATACATATCCTATTTATCATGGAAGCAACACAGAAAATTTGCCCTGTCTCTCAGACAACTTTTGGTGCAAAAAAAAGATGGACTAGAGCCCAGAATTCTGTTTTCCAGGCTCCAGGGCTGATGCCAGTCTTTTGAAAAGGAAAGTCAGTATAAAGAACAGTGAAGCCGAAAACCAAAGGGCGTGTGACGCTGCCCAGACTTCTCCCTGAGCTTGGGCACCGAAGATGGAAGAAGGAGATCATTGAGAGAACAGTTAGAGACAAGTAGCTGCTGTAAACGGAATTTTAGAGCATTCCATCATACAAAACTAATAATCTCTCATGATAGGGATGGAATATTCTAGAACTGAGAATCAGCATTCATACTGTGTACAGATTGCAAGTTCTAAGAGAATGAAAATAGTACAAAATACACCTAATCTCATTTTAAAATACTACTTTTGGAAAATACTATGACAAGGTACATGCCTGTGGTGACCATTATGGCACAGTGCAGATGGCACATACGTAAACGTTGAGGCTAAGTTCATGCTACTTCACTCAGCTTCCTTTCTACAGTTTGTATTTTGGGTAGGAATTTATATTTATGGTAAAATTATGGTTAAAATTCTGCAAAATAGTGGATGAAATGGAAGAAAGGTAGATAGACAAAATAATAATAATAATAATAATAATAATAATAATAATAGGAGCACTTGTTCATAGCCTATCCCTGTGGAAGCAGAAACTTTTGCTTGGTTGATTGGTCATTTAGGTAGTTTGATCAAGATAGTAATTATGTTAGTTAAATTCTCTTTTCATTGTACTTTGCCATTATTGTATATATGAAGCCTTTATATTATTGTTTTATTTGTCCCTGTATACCTTATTCTGACACCCTTGTGCTCCTCTTTCCCATAAGTATATTCTAGTGTGTTTGATACTAAATGTAGGTTTTCTATTACATTCCAAAGCCACTCCAAAGCCAGTCTTCCTGGTCCAAAATCTGACTACTACCACTTATCACCTTTGTGGCCTTCAGCAAATTATTTACTCCTGTTATGTCTCAGTTTCTTTTTATAAAATGGAGCTAATAGTAATAAACACTTTATGAGATGTTTGTGAAGAGTAAATGAGTTAACATAAATAAAGCATTGAGAACAATTTTTGTTCAAACATTCAGTTTGTGCTATTATATATATAAAGAATAAATTTTTGTCTATTCATTTAAATTTACATAAGTTTTATTGTGTTGTGTCTCTATTTCTAATCTTTATAACAGAACATTATAAAGTCCATGTATGTTGTTATATATCTATCTAGTTTTCTGCATAGCGTTCCTTAGTGTGCCACATTTAACACGTCTTCCCTGTGTTAAACACCCAGTTAGTTACCTTCAAAGTGAACTCCTTCTATCACCAGGGAAAACCTTGCCTTAAATCAATGGTTCTCAAACTTTATCATTCATCATAAGCACCTGGAGGGCTTGTCAGAACATAATGTTGTTGGATCCCATACCCAACAGGTTTGGGGTGGAACCTGAGAATTTGCATTTCTAACAACTTCCTAATTGATACTGATTTTGCTGATCCAGACACTAGACTTTGAGAAACACTTCTATAAGAGCCTGGACCAGGTTTTTGTTTTGTTTTATAATTTCGCCTGGGAGGAAGTTGCAGGATCTTAGGGTGTATGAATATTTAATATTGTTAAATTGCCCTCCAAAATGCTGAGCCAGTCTACCCTCCAGTTGCTGGTACATGGAACCTCTCTAGAATCTAACCAAGCATTTCATTATCTAACTTTCTAACTTAGGCCACTCTTATGGTTGTAAAATAATTTTATAAGCTTCCCTCTGGTAAGTAACCAGGTAAAACATCATTTTATATACACTTGGTCTTTCTCTCCGCAAACTTCCTCTTTGTATATTTTGCTTATATTTATTTTCTCCTCATCCGTATTTTTTTTTACTTTTAATTTCTAAATGCTTCTCTATAGTTTAGGTATTTACCAGTTTGGGGATTTGATGTGGCAAATACTTTCTCCAGATTTTAGCTTATTTTGTATTGCATAATTTTTTAATATAGTCAACTTGTTTATTTTTAGTTCATTTTGTGTGTGTTTTTATATTTTTAACTTATTGTTTTAAGTTTACTTTTCAAGTCTAGTTGATTTAAATCTTTAATCCATCTGGATTTACTTTTAGTGCATGCTCCAGGGGGTCCATAGAGTGACCTATTCTTTCTTGGTTGTTCCTATTACCATCCATGGAACAATGTATTCTTCCCCCACCCCGGGTGGTTTGTGGTGCCACCTCAGTCATATACTAAATTCCTATATAAATGAGCATCTATTTAAGGCTTTGTGAGTTTGCATGTTCTGACACTAGTACCATACTGTTTTGGGTAGTGTTATTTACTTTGCATTACATCATTTTAGATAAGCTTATTTAGTTCCTCAAAAAGTCTGACTGGACTTTGAGTTTGAATTGCAATTAAATTTGAGATCACTCTGAGGGAAATTTAACATCTTTTAAAAATTGTTGCTCATGCCCTTTTCTTGGAAATTTTCCTATCTATTCGAGTATCTTTAGGGCCTTTTCATGAAGTTCTGAACTTTGCTAGTTGTGTTTGTTCTTTATTGTTTCTTAGATATTGATATTTATTTTACTGCTCTTGGGAGTGGTTACTTGTCATTTATATTTCCTATGTGGTTTTTGCTGATATAGAAGAATTTTAGTGATTCATTCTGATAGACCTCAAATTCATAGCCTTGATTTTTAAATCCCTTTCCCACCCTTATGATACTAAAAGCTCAGTCCTTGTTTCCATTTCCAATCCAAAAATGAGAACAAGTTTTGATATAAAGAAGAATGTTTTGTTGTTTTGCTAGCAAAGGAGAAGCAGAGGACTCCTGTCCCAGAAGCTGTGATTCTCCCTGCTAGAGGGAACGCAGGGATTTTAAAAGAGGAATAAAGGGTGGGGATCCAAATATTATGAGTAGATAGAATTAATTAGTGTCAATCTGCTGTCCTTGAGAAAGCCATTGCTCCAGTTCCCAGGTCTAGAGTTTGTTTATTCTTGTGGGCAGTGACATTCTTCCAGGCAGTGAAGGACATGACAGCTTAGCTTGGGACAGGAAAAATGTTCATGTCATTTCCCTTTCCCCCACTGTTAGGGAGGGTAAGGAGAAGAGGAAGAAAGGGAAAAACAATCGTGACAGGTTTAAAATAAGTCAATCATGATCAAGCATCAAGGTTTGTACCCAGATCGAAAAGTGGACTCCCATTACACTTATGTCTCTTATTTATTTTTTCCTATCTTATACTGTCCAGTGTTTTTTTTTTTTAAATTTTGTGTGTATTTTTATTTTAATTTGTTATGTATGACAGCAGAATGCCTTACAATGGGATATAGCTCAGTTGGTAGAGTGCTTGCCTCGCATTTACAAAGCACTGGATTCAATTCCAGCACCACAAAAAAACAGAGGAAAAAAAAGAATTATCCAATATTTGTAGTCCATGTTGGATTATATTGTTGTATAGCACATAATTTCCTTGCTTAAGAGTTTGAAGACAATCTGTATACTTAGTCCATTTATTTTATGTATGCTGTGGGGTTTTATATGTAACATTTTTTTTCATGTCAGGGAATTCCTTTTATTCTTAGTTTTCTGAATATTTTTAAAAATCTTAAATTGATAATGAGATATAGGGAGGAAAGTATTTTTCTTCTTGATAGTCATGTGATTTGTCTTCTTTAGTTCATTAATATATTAAATTGTGTTGATAATATTTAAACACTATTTCCATTCCTGAAATAAATGCTATTTTCATAATATATTTATTAAACTGTTGAACTCAATTGGATAATATTTTATTTATAAGTTTTGAATCTATGTTCAAATATATATTATTATTTTGTTTTCTTCTTGTTACTTTTGTACTACTAGTTAATGGAGTCAGAATAATTTCTCATAAAAGGTTATACTTTTTCTCTCATGATATTTTGTATTTTATTTATTTTCTTATATATTTTAAAAATTATTCTCTTTTGCTTTTTTAACTTTTTCTGTATTTTATTGTCTTCTGAAATAAGTGTGTTTACTCACACCTGCCTCCCAGGTCTTCTCCTCACCTCCACCCTGATATAATATATTAGAATCACATGGAATTGTAACTGTGGACTGCTTTTGGTATAGTTTTGTTATTTTCTTTTATGCCATAGATGTCATAAATCCAGTGTCACTGCTAAGAAGTCCAATGTCAAATTTGAGTCATATCCTTTTGTAGGTGAAGAGCTTTTATTCTCTAAATCTCTTTAGATTTTTTTTCTTTTCCATTTATATCTTAAATTTCACCGAAATTTAGATTGAAAACCTTTTCCTCACATATTCCATTAGTCATTTTGATCTGAAGTAGTTCAATGACTCTCATCCAGGGAAATTCTTAGTCATTACAACTTTGAATATTTCCACATCTCTGTGTATTTTCTTCTTCTGTCTTTGAGGTTCATTTTATAAAGAACGAAATTTCTAATTGTATTGACCATACTTCCTATTAAGTTTTCAGCTTCCAGTTTTCTTATTATCACTTCCTGAGACCTTCTGGGAGAGTTCCTCCTCCTGATTTTCATCAGCTGCCAATTATTTATTGATTCCTTTATTTCAGTTGTTCTAGTTTTCATATAAAGCGCTTGTTTTTTACCTTTGGTTTTCACTTATGTGATGAGGGTTACATTCAAGCTTACCTAGTCTTCTTACACCTGCTAACTTCTCTTCACCCGCTCACAGCTTGGGTACCACTCTGCTCTTGACCCACCTCAGCTGATACTGAGTAGCTACTGCACCCTGCTTTGAAGAGGCAACATAAATGAGAGAAATCTGCATTGTTCCTTTTCTCTTCCAAGCTTCCCAGCCCACCTCTAATATGGGTTACTGTTCCTTGTCAACTACAAACACTGGGTCCCACCTGTCTATTACTGCCCCAAGTGTTTCCCATGTTTTACATCATTTGGTAAGATCTATCCACTTCCCTCTAATATCTATTGGGTTGAGGTTTAGAAAGAAAATATTAGTTTCTGATTGTATGTAACTTTGTTAGGAAAATAAATTAACAGAGCTTTACAGAAACTGGACATTTAGGGGCATCATGACCAAATCCATTTTGTGGAAAACCACCTTATCATTCTAGAAAATAGAAGCCTCAGTTTATTGAGATAGAAAAGAGACTATAGAGAACTGACCTCAAAATGGAATAAAATGGAACCTTAAGAGGAGCAGACAGAGGATCAAGGAAACAAAGAGAGCTCTCACATTCTATGCCCTGAAGTAGTGGCTCATTAGGAATTATGCCTGAAGCTCTGTGAGTACAAAGATGCTATATTCTTGCACATTCTTCTTTGCTTCTCTAGCTTGCACAATCCCCTGAACTACAAGACAGATATGCTGCTCCATGCCTAATTTCTCATTTTAAGGATCAAATTAAATTTTGCATTTATTTACCTGTTTGTCTTCTTTATTTGCTCATTCTCTCAGAATCAACCTACCGACACCAAGCAACCATCGATGACGAAGTTGTTTCCATGGAGATCCTTGATACTGCTGGTCAGGTGAATAGAAATTGAACTAAAATATTTTCTGCATCAAATAAAAAAAGACATGAATAATGTGCACAAAATTGAGGCATGTCATTCAAGTAACTTTTGCATAACTAAAAACTTATTTCTACAATTTTATATATTAACACATTTCTAAGAGCCTGTGTATAATGTTTATGTAAACTTCCCTGTGCTTCAAGAAGGTTTTGAAAATACTGTAATATTCATATATTGTCCAGGTTGGAATCTCCCACCTGTTTGGTGGCTTAGCAGGATAATAAGTTTTTCATGGTCAAATGTATTTTGAAATGTTTAGATATACTTAAACAAGTGCCTTTACTGATAGTTTGCAGAGGTTTTATATGCTAATATGCAAGGTAACCCTTTAAGAGAAAGTATATAGTATATATTGACTTCTCTGGCCTTATATAAATTTGTCTGTTTGCTTCAAAATGCTTTATTTTGGAACTCTCTCCTGAAATATTTTCTTTGTAAATCTAATTTGAGGTCAGTTAGATCTGAAACGATGAAATGATTCATAGATAGGTTTAATTCTTTTTTTAAATTGATTTTAGTTTTTTAAATACAGGAGAGCGGAATGCATTACAATTCTTATTACACATATAGAACACAATTTTTCATATCTTTGTATAGAAATGACCAGTGGGATGAGTTAAGAAACTGGAGTTTTCCATGGTCCTTTGTCAATAATCTGTAACTCCAACAAGACTTGAATTGAAGAGTTTAATCCATGAAATGTTCTTGAAATGAATTTCACACATTTACTTCTCATCACCATCTCCTTATGCTCTGACCTTCACACTCTGAGCCTACTGAGAGAGGCCACAGCCTCCAGAAACCACTTGAACCTTTAAAGGCAATGCTTTCTCAAATTATAGGTATACCTTCCCATGAAGAATCACTTCAATAAGTTTCCATCATTATTGGTACTATGTGACATATTTGGGGTATTGGCATAGGGGGAAAAAAAAGGCCCACCTTAAAGTTGGACTCTTTCTTTCCCTAATTGTCTTCAATAAAAAAGGAGATTAAAACACACAAAGAAACCAAAAAAGGGAGAGGGTACATCTTGCTGAATTTTGGCTCTAATTCTGACACCTAAATATTGGGGTAACAACCACTTGTCTATTATTAATTTATTAATTTTCAATTGTGATGAGAAAAAGTCTCAATAGCAATATGCTCAACCAAGGGTATAATTTATTAATAGTTCTTGTGATTATAAAAGTAAGAATATAGCAAGAAAAATTAAAAGTAGAAATTCAGTCTATGAGTTAGAACCTTTTCAATTGCCTGAAGTATCTTGATATGAGTAAGGAATGCTCCTATTCCAAACTCATTGAGAAAGTAAACTTGGGAAGGCAGACAACCAAGACATTTAACAAAAGTGGATATGAAGAATAGTGATTAAGGGGTTATTATCAGCATCAGCAGTGTCTATGCATTGTGATCACCTCCAATTTTCTGAGCTGCTATTTTTTCTTGGCCTACAGGAAGACACCATTCAGAGAGAAGGGCACATGCGATGGGGGGAAGGCTTTGTGCTGGTCTATGACATTACTGACCGAGGAAGTTTTGAGGAAGTGCTACCACTGAAGAACATCCTAGATGAGATCAAAAAGCCCAAGAATGTGACTTTAATCTTGGTTGGAAACAAAGCTGATTTGGACCACTCCAGACAAGTGAGTACAGAAGAAGGGGAGAAGCTGGCCACAGAATTAGCATGTGCTTTTTATGAGTGTTCTGCCTGCACTGGAGAAGGGAACATCACAGAGATCTTCTACGAGTTATGTCGAGAGGTGCGTCGCCGGAGGATGGTGCAGGGCAAGACGAGGAGACGCAGTTCCACCACACATGTCAAGCAGGCCATCAACAAGATGCTCACCAAAATCAGTAGTTAGGCCGCTCTGGTCTTTCAGAGGCACTGCAGAGGTGGGTTGGGTCATTGGAAATTGTGCCCTTCTTTTTTCCTTCCAAAAATGAAATGAAATACCCCACTCCTTGTTTTGACTAGGGGAATTGTCTGGGCTTCTCATTGTTCCCCACCTTTCATATGTTGGGGGTTTTAGAGTGTCTTGTGCAGTTTCAATGCTGACAATTATTCCCTTTCCTGCTTGCATAGGATCCACTCCGCTACAGCTTGAAGATGTAGCTACCAGAAATTGAGAAATGGCTGGGCTCATATTCAGCTATTTTTAGGCATCTCCACATTGCTTAAACAAGTTAGTCTTTTCAGAGGCATTTTAAATTAAATTTTAAATTCCATTTCTTGTCAAAGACTACCAATGATCATCATAAATGTCTGAGATAGCAGAAAATAAAGTAAAAACACCATAAGGACAGCTGAGCTGTTGGAGCTAAGACTAGAACTCAGTTCCTTTTTGAAGTGAGGATTTTCCGAATTATCTTAAATCACTGAGTTTTTCTTTAACCCTGCAATTTGTTCTTACCTTGAAACATGAACTCGTGAAGGTTTTTCACTGTAATAGAGTTCATTTCAATTTGAGTTGATTATCTCAATGACATATTAACCATTATGCCCTGATTCTTCTTGCTTGGCTTATACACCTCTGTAATAACAGAGGCAGCAAGACCCACTATTCAAATCTTGATAAAGCTTTCTCCTCAAACCCAAGGTGATGTAAAACATTAGCAATCTTTTCACCAAATTCTAATTTCATTGCATGCATGTAGGAGTTAGTCTTAGAGATGCCTGATTGTTTCTCACTCTGTTTATCACCCTAGCAGAAAGACAATAATCCAAACAACAGGGTAATTAGGAATGGAGCTTAAACACCCCTCTGTAGGGAAGCCAAGGCTCTGTGCCAGCCACATCAGAAAAAGAAGCTTCTGCTTCATTAAGATGACCACATGACTTCTTTAAAATTTTAGGTAAATTAATTCACTTAGAAGAATTCAGAAAAGAACAGATGATTTGAGTTCATTATATCTGAATAAATGTGCATAAAACAGATTCTTATAAAAGTACAGCCTATAACTAACAAGGCTTTATAACTCTCTTCTCCCTCTTATGCCCCCATATATCAACATTTGGGCACTTTATTTTAGAAGAAAATATATATCTTTTACATATGTATGTATTTGTAAATGCATAGATATATGTATAAAATTTGTAAGTGTTGGAAGCTTTAGTTCACCATGTATTTGGACAACTTGGTGTAACTGACTTTATTTTATGTGACTATAATAAAAAGCATAATTTTCAAATTTTGGCAGTCTTTTTTATAATAAAAACATGAAACATTTTGTAATTTTAGGAGACACTTGAGGGAGCAATTGAATTGCAGAGTTGAAAAATCAAGTAAGCCCTATTTTTAAAATTTAGCTCCTGTTGATAATTATAGCTGCTACTTTTAGAGTGCTTAGGTGCTATTTTAGGCATGTTATATATTATTCCCCCAAATCATCACAATCACCCTATGAAAGAGTATTACAATGATCACAGTTAAAGACAAAGAGTCATAAGGGGAACAAAGTAATGCAGCTGCATCTACACAGAATTTAGTGGGTAGAACCAGGATTTGAACTCAGAGGGTCAAAGACTCAGACTGTACAGTCCACACTACTACCCACTATGTAGTTCTTACCCTTGAACTGTAGGTATGAAGATAAAGGAATATATATATATAAAAGTAAGAATATAGCAAGAAAAATTAAAAGTAGAAATTTAGTCTATGAGTTAGAACCTTTTGAATTGCCTGAAGTATCTTGATATGAGTAAGGAATGCTCCTATTCCAAACTCATTGAGAAAGTAAACTTGGGAAGGCAAACAACCAAGACATTTAACAAAAGTGGATATGAAGAATAGTGATTAAGGGGTTATTATCAGCATCAGCAGTGTCTATGCATTGTGATGTATATATATCATATACACAATTCAATACAAGTTTGTCGACTGGATGGTGTCAGACCTGAACTTTAAGGAATATATAAGAAAAATTTAAGAAAGAAAAATGGTGAAATTATCATAGGCAAAGAATATTGTAGGCACATTTCATGGAGACATGAAAGTTGATGGTAAGTGTGAGAATTTAAAGGAATTTATATGGCCACATATGTAATTTTTAGGGGGAAAAAGAGAGGATATCAGAAGAGAAGAATAGAAAGAAAAGGAGTAAAGGAATAGGAAATAAGAATAAAATGCCAAAAATTCATAGTCTTGCAACCAACTACCTATTAAAGGACTAAGTTAGAAAACTCAGCTGTGATTCATTTTTAGTAATGTCCATTTAGACAATGTAAAGGGAAAGGATGCAGTAAAAATTACTTTGAAAATTTGGTACCTTCTATATTTATAATCTCTTCCATTCTCTCATATTTGTGTTTGGAAATATAGCTCTCTCAGCTCCTATTAAAATCAAGCTCCTAGGGAGACAGTAAAATACTTGTGTGTCATCTTCCAGTAAAAAAAAAAAAAAAAAATCTAAGAAAGTTAAATACCCAGCCAGCAACACCAGTAATTACCCTAGACATATGAATTCAAATCCAGACCTGTTAAAAATCCTAGAACCACTGACGTAAGTTCCAACTGGTGATTATAGAAGAACATGAGATTACATAAACATAAATTAGCTATTTCTCTCATGCCCAGGCTCCTCCACAGAGAAAGGTCACAAAGAGGTTAATATTACTAGTAATTTGGAAACTGAGTCACATTTTCATGAGTGCCAATGATGCAAGAAGATTCATCTAGTAAAGAGTAGGGATAGGGTTTTATTTTCAGCGTTAAAAGCATATCATACTAGACATGATGGTATAATAGGTGCCATATTTACTCTTACATATCAAACAACTAGAAAAAACAGATGAAATATATGTAACAATGGTATTTAAACATTGAATAATAAGCAATAAAGAACTGAGAAAAATACCTCTGATTTCACCAGTAGCCAAGTAGCAGGTTCTAGAAAGCAATATTGTGAAGAAATACTCAAATAGACCATGGTGGTCTCACTGAGTTGAAGAAACAAAAATTAGAACTTCAGGAGGCCAAGGTCTTAAGATCTGTGGGATATAATGTCTGCAGGAAGGGATCTTAACAGAGAAAAAAACCCTACAGATCTGTGAAAGGGTTCCTTCAGCCTTTGACTAAATATGGATGAATGCATGATGAGAGGAAATTACTTAAGGTTGAAATAAGAAACACAGAAAAGTAGTAGGTCAAATTTCAGGTAAGCCATACATAGGACTGGGAACAGTTTACCAGCCACGCTGAAAAGACCTTGTAATATATAAGTAGTACACATGACATTCAAAGGGATATTGTAGTATTTGAGTGTACATTTTCCCTAGATCAAGATGCTAAGTATTAACAAAGTTTTAAAAAGCCTGAAATTGATGAAGCTGAGTTCAAGTAACTTGATTTCAAGCTAAAAAAAAAAAAAAATCCAACATACTATATAAAATTATACAAAATAAATCCTGTACCTAACAAGGTTAAAAATTATGATGGTTGGCATCCAGTCAAAAATTATTATGCACACAAAGAAACAGGGAAAATATGTCCCATAAGTAGAATAATAGTCAATCAATAGAATCAGATTATGAAAGGGCAGATGATGTCATTACCAAAGAAGGAAAATAAAATAGCTATTACAAATATATTCCATATGTTCAAGAAAGTAAGGAAAGACATGAACATAGTCAGGATATAAATGAAAGATATAAATGTGTCCCAAATATAACTTCTGTATGAAATGATAATACATTGAGTATGATGAACATCAGATTTTATCCTGAGAAAATAACCCGTCAGCTTGATGAAACAGCAATAGAAATCATCCAAAGGCAACAAGAAACAAACAAACAAAAAAAAAACTTAAAAAGACAAAAATGAGCACAGCATCAGTGATCTCTGGGATAAAATTGAGCAGTCTAATGCATAGATAATTGAACTACAAGAAGTAGAGGAGATGATGGTAGGACCAAAAAAACTTTTTAAAAAAAGTAATTACTAAAAATCATTCCAAATCCATAAGCCCTCAAACCCAAAAAATCTCAAAAAATAAAAAAAACCCAAGGAGTAAAACAGAAAGAAAACAATATGGTACATCCAAATCAAATTGCTGAAAGATATTGATAAAGAGAAAGTTTTAAAAGCAATGTGAGGGGAAAAGTACACATCACATCCAGTAGAACAAAGATAAGGCTGATTTCTCTCCCAAAACTATGCAAGCCAAAATGCATTGGAATAACATATTTCAATTATTGGGAAAATGTCTTAGAGTGCTATTTCAAGTGAAAATATCTTTCAATAATAAATGTAAAATTAAGACCATTTTATATGATAAAAAGATCTGCCAAATGCCAGCAGATTTGTGCTGCTAGAAAGGTTAAAGGATTTTTTAGGCAGAAAGAAAATATACCAGGTAGAAATATAACTCTACACACAGAATGAATAGTACTGGAAATATAATAGCTGTCCCTAAGCAGAAACTGGCAGCCCAATGGGCTCTCATAGGACACCTGCTATGTAGCCATTTGGATGAGTAAGCCTCCTGAAACCTACTGAAAACAAATGTTCAATGTCTAAGCATAGGTTTTCATTTTGCATCTTTCCAATATTAATGAAATGTCAATATTTTACTTTAAAATAGTAGTTTTACTTAAATTATCTTTGCTTTTGTTTTACTTCATGCTGAAGTACATCCAGCCATTACAAATGAAATCTGTCATTTTATTTCCTGTGAGTTAAAGAAAAAATATATTTTTCCTTAAGAAACTATAGATGAGTGTAGGAAGCTTTTTGAGTTTGGGCTGTTTTCATGTATATGTATACATTTATTCTATACATGTCATATGAGAAAAGAAAATAACTTGATTTACTCTGTGAAGGAGTATTTTTTAAGGCTGAAAGCCTCATTGTAACCTAGGGAAATTCTTGATGAGGGCTTCTTAATATTCCTTTATGATTTGTGAGATCCTATGAACATTGTCATGGAAAATTTTGTTCTATCATTATCTCCATCTTCTCTGAGTTTGGGGAAGTAAAAGGCTTACCACCAAAAGCAAGATAGTTCATTGAAACAAATAAAGGATGCGGATTGCATCTATTTCCTGGGCTTTGGAGTCAATCTTTGTACCAGTTGTGTTCAACTTAAAATTTATGCTCCGAACATTCACTGCTGAATTGGAATGCTGGATGCAGTTTCCCTGGAAAGCAAAGTTGTAAATCATATCTAAGCGTCCCTGCCAGTCCATGGGAGCCTATTGAAACCATACATAGCAGCATATTTCTTTGGGGAATACACTAAACATAACATTTCAGAAAGTGCAAATATCCTGTCAACATTTCCTCACCTGTTCTTCTGTATCTATTCCACATATTCTGTTAGCCCTTCCTTGAACCCCTGACTATAAATCTTCTTAGCAGTATAAGTCAAATTAGGGATTTAAAATAAACACATCTAGCTGGCAATATTTCAAATATCCTAGGAATATTAAGGAAAACATTTTATGCATAATAGGAGGGTTTTAGCATAGAAGCATACATAAACAAAGCAAGCACACCTAACCCCTCAGATATATTCCTATGTACTGCCCATAAACAAACAACAGAAAAATGGGAAATAATGATTATCTAATTCACCAGCATTTGTCTTAGTGACTTTCTTATTTTTTATTTTACTATTAAAAAATAAAAGGTGGTGCGGTGATAGGGAAAGACAAGATTCTTTCTCAAATAAATTTGGAAAGAATTGGATTGACTCAAGTAAAGCAAGTTTCTAAACTTTGACTTCACTAGGTTAATGAATGTTGTCAGTAAGAGGGGCTCAGTTAGTATAGTATTGCCTGTACTTACTTGACTATGGTGGTGCCTCTTGCAGGACTAGTGGACTATGAACTATGTTTTGGGGATAATACTTTCATCTTATCTTCAAAGGGTCTCTGCTATGATTTGGACATGGTTTGAGTATATCTCCAGAGGTTCATGGAGGCTAAATCCTCCCTGTGGCAATATAGAGAGGTTCTGGAACCTTTAAGAGGTGAGACCTAATGAAAGGTCATTAGGTCATTGGTGGAGCACCTCAGAAGGGATTTA